CCCCACATCTGAGACACTCTTACAGTCTCAGGACCCCTGAGACAGCAGGACCCCCGGGACAGTTTCAAACAGAGTTTGAAACTCTGTTATGCTCTGGAATCTCCAGATGCTGCCCCAACATCTGCCCACAACTGAGTGCCCGCAGACCTGGCCTCCAATCCAGGAACACTGAAGTCTAAGATGTCCAGGGAACCCCCAGACACCCTAGGACCCCGGACTCCTTATGATGCACTGAGTGCTCGGATATACTCAAACACGAGATGTTCTCTTACCAAAATGACTTGGGATGCCCATCCCAGAGCCCCCAAGATCCACGTATCAGACACCAAGATGCTCTGGAAGCCAGGGATCAAAGACCTCCATAGGTCCACCCACCCCAAAGCCAGGGTTCTCAGGAGCTTTGGATATCATTTATAGGACTCAGAGGTGCCTGGTGCCCTCAAATGTGCGACTGAAGGCTACCAACACTTCAGGGCCCGTGATACTGGTCTCGAGTTCTCAAACAGCCCTCTCACAGTTCCTCCTGGACCTGGATTTTGAGACCCCAAATGCCCTGGAATCTTCAGCTTCTTTCTATCCACAGATTCCCGACCCCTTAAGGGCTGGGAATCCAGCTCCCAGAAGATGGGGTGCTCATGGCGACCCAGACCTCTGACCCCCTTGGCCCTCAGCCCCTGAGTGACCCCAAGGTACTTTAGGAGCACTGGATCCAATACCCCAAAGGTGCCACTGACCCCCAAATGCAAGGCTCAAGACCCTACAACATTGGGATTGTTCCTGATCCAAGACCTTCGTCCCTCCAAACCAGAGGCATTCAGATTTGCGGTGCCCCAAGACCCTAGCACCCTCAGACCCCATATTTCTTTGGACTCAAACCTTTCTAGCCTGATGAACCCCAAGATGCCTCTACATCCGATTCCCCCAGCCCCACTTGTCCATCCTTGGAGACCTGCTGCCCCTTGAATCCTGCCATCCATAGGCCCCCAAAACTCCAAGGTTCCAGACTCTGGAATTCTGGTCCCAAGGATCCCAGCCCAAGCCCCCAGCAATCCTCAGAATTACCCCTTTATCTTAGGGTGGGATCCCTTGCATTTGGAACTCATTGTAGGACTGCCCAGGGTGGGGCGCAGTGGCTCATGCCTTGTAATCCCAGCACTTTGGGAGGCCAAGGAAGGAGGATCGCTTGAGGCCAGGAGTTTGAGACCAGCCTGGGTAATGTAGTGAGACCCTGTCTCTTAAAGAAAAAAAAAAAAAGGGACCAACTAGGAGCTCCGTCACTGTCATGTCTAGGACCCAGCATTGTCACAGATGATTATGCAGAGTCTTCATTAAGTGAAGGCATACAGCCCAGGGTTTCGAGGAGCTGGAAGTCACACCAGTCTGCTGGCCATGCTGTGCCCTTGGAAGTGTGTGCAATGGAACCTTTCAGGCTAGGTATGGCTCTGCTGTCCCACAGCCCCCACCCTTGCAGATCTTCCTTCAAGTTCAACCTTAATTCCTAGTCCAGGTTCAAGTTCCACCTTTTATGTTCTGCCCCTCCATTAACCCCTTCTCTTCCTATTTATTTATTTATTTGTTTGTTTGTTTGTTTTGAGACAGAATCCCGCTCTACCACCCAGGCTGGAGTTCTGTGGCACAATCTCGGCTTACCACAATCTCCCCCTCCCGGGTTCAAGCCATTCTTCTGCCTCAGCCTCCCGAGTAGCTGGGATATCAGGCATGTGCCACCACACCCGGCTAGTTTTTTGTATTTTGAATAGAGATAGGGTTTCACCATGTTGGCCAGGATGGTCTGGAACTCCTGACCTTGTGATCCACCTGCCTCAGCCTCCCAAAGTGCTGGGATTACAGGCGCGAGCCACTGCGCCTGGCTCTCTTCCACTTTAGAGTTAGAAGTTGCTTCAGGAAGTTTGAAAGCCTGTGGCCCGCTGAGTCTCTTCTTCTGTGCAAGGGGGGAGTGCCACAGGCTTTTTTTTTCCCCAAGTGAAATGGGACTTCCAGTGGATTGAAGATCTGGTGTCCTGTATGGGGGCATCAAGGTCTTGGAGCAAGACAGCCTCAGTGTTGTGTGGGCTTGGAACCTGCATCTGGCCCCAAGCATCTGGAACTGTGCACTTAACCTTTCTTCATTACCCAGACTTGGATGGCCTTGTTGGGGTTCAAGGGATAGGTCCTCTGTCTCTTCCTTTAAATTATTAACTATTTATTACATCCGGAACCTGTGAGATTCAGCACTCCCAACCAGACCCTGGGATGGGTGAGAGAAAAGCGGGGTGTCTCTCCCCTCCCCACTCTGCCCAGCTCTCATCACTGTCAGACCCACCAGAGCTGAGGGTGGAGGGATTGGGGGCTGGGGCAGCCTGGGTTCCCATGCCCCTCTCTGTGCCTCGGTCTCCCCCCTTCCGTGGTGGGCAGGGGGGAAGCTCCATTCTTAACCTACCTCGTTTTGGGGAGGGGTGGGACGGGGGACCAGAGTGCTGTACGGTGCTGTGGGATCTGCAGATGAAGCGGTGGGGGCTGGGGAAAGGTCCCCTGGCCACCACTTCCCAGCAGCGCCTCTCCCAGGTCCCCCAGTCCTGCTCCCTGCTGAGACCCACCTCTGATCCATGATTCCCCTTCATTGCCCCCAAATCAGGGGTGCATGGAGGGCCGCCCTGGGAGCCAGGCAGACCTCAGACCCTAGAGCCCCCAGGCCTAATTTCCCAGCCGCTTGCCCCTCAGATTGGATGCTTGGCCCCCAGATTTGGGGGAGGCACCCCAACACATATCTTCCTGATCTTGATTCTAAGCCAGTCTGTGACCTCAATATTGTTAGTGTCAGTGCAGGCTGAAGTGGTGGGGGAGGATGGGGGCCAAAGACCCAGCCTTGTCATCGGGGGAGGGGGCACGAGATCTGCTCCAAGAAATGTCTGTGACAAAGTCTCAGCCTGTGTTATTTATTTGCCTCTCTGCACCCCACCCACTCACCTTCCTGAACTGCCAAACAAGTCTCCTACTTCAATTCTTCCTTCTCCCATCAGACCCTCAAGCTGAGTTTTATAAGACACTCAACAAGTGCATTTATTGAACACCTAATTATGTGCCAAGCCCTGTTGAAAGCACTGGAGATAAAGCAGTGGGCAGAGCAGACCGAAGTCCCTCCTGCAAAGAGTTTATGAGCTTTATAATAGGGGAGATAATGAGTAAATGACTTAATATGTTAGAAATGATAGCAGAAAGAAAAAAAGAAAGTGGGAATGGGGGATACACACCATTTTAGCGAGAGTGGCCAGGTCAGGCCCTCCTCAGGAGCTGGCATTTGTTGTCGTCGTTTTAAGACGGAGTCTGACTCTGTCACCCAGGCCAGAGTACAGTGGCATGATCTCTGCTCACTGCAGCCTCTGCCTCCTGGGTTCAAGCGATTCTCCTGCCTCAGGCTCCCGAGTAGCTGGGACTACAGGTGGGTACCACGATGCTCGGTTAATTTTTGTATTTTTAGTGGAGTCAGGGTTTCACCATGTTGGCCAGGCTGGTCTCGAACTCCTGACCTCAAGTGATCCACTTGCCTTGGTCTCTCAAAGTGTCCCAAGTGATTCCAGGTGGAAATCTCCCAAGTGATTACAGATGTGAGCCACTGTGCCCAGCCAGGAGCTGGCATTTGAATAAAGCCCTGACGGGGGTGAGGGAGTCCTGGGGATGTCTGCAGGGAAGGGTGTTTTAAGTAAAGGGAACAGCCAGTGCAAGGCCCTGAGGCAGGAGTGTGTCTGGTAAGTCTGAGGAGCTTCAGGGAGCTAGAGTGTTGAGAGGGGAGGAAGCAAAGAAGAGAGTGCCAGGAGATGAGGGCAGAGGGGCGATGGGGCAGATCTGTAAGGCGTTGAAGGCATTGAATGGACTTAGGTTTTTACCCTGAGAGAGACGGAGCCACAGGAAATTTCAAGCATGGAAGGGATGTGACCTGACTCAGTTCACAGGCTCCCTCTGCTGCATGTGGTCAGCAGAGTGGGAGTGGGCTGGGGGGCAGTTTGCCAAAGAGGAGGCTGCTGTGAAGGTTCAGGACAAGACAGCAGCAGGCAGGTCCAGGGTGAGGGCCCTGAAGAGTGGAGAAGTGGGCAGGTGCTGGGCCTACTTTGTAAATAGAATCCACAGATTTATATATGGGGTTTGAGATAAAGAGAGGAGTCAAGATTGGAAGTCCAGGTTTTTGGCTGGAGCAATTTTTTTTTTTTTTTTTTTGAGACGGAGTCTCGCTCTGCCGCCCAGGCTGGAGTGCAATGGCCAGATCTCAGCTCACTGCAAGCTACGCCTCCCGGGTTCACGCCATTCTCCTGCCTCAGCCTCCCGAGTAGCTGGGACTACAGGCGCCCGCCACCGCGCCCGGCTAGTTTTTTTTTGTATTTTTAAGTAGAGACGGGGTTTCACTGTGTTAGCCAGGATGGTCTCGATCTCCTGACCTCGTGATCCGCCCGTCTCGGCCTCCCAAAGTGCTGGGATTACAGGCTTGAGCCACCGCGCCCGGCCAATTTTTTTTTTTTTTTTTTAATTGAGATCATCACCCAGGCTGGAGTGCAGTGGCATGATCACAGCTCATTGCAGCCTCAAACTCCTGAGCTCAAGTGATCCCCCCACCTCAGCCTCCCGAGCAGCTGGGATTACAGGTGCGCACCACCAATCCTGGCTAATTTTAAAAATGTTTTTGTAGAGACATGGTCTCACTATGTTGCCTGGTCTGGTCTTAAACTCCTGGGCTCAAGCGATCCTCCCACCTCAGCCTCCTGAAGTGTGGGGATTACAGGTGTGAGCCCCTGTGGCCCGCCTCTGGGCAATTTTTAACATTCGATTTATGTCAACAAATAGCCCGCCAAGTGTCCTGCCTTGGGGTAAACAGGGTTATGGGGTTACTCAGATCTGTCCTTAAGGAACAAGTTCTATCCCTGTTCTTCCCTCCAGGCTCCTGGTCCACCCCCAACTTCCAGCAGAATTGTCTAGGAACTACTGGATACCAGAATACTGTAAGGAAGAGATTAGATCTAACACAATGTTTACTTAGCAACAGCAACAAAACAACAGTAGTAGTAACTGTAGAAATAGGTTCCGTGGTTTAAGAGCATGGAGTCTGGAATTTCATCTTCAAGCCGTGGCATCACCAGGAATTCACTCTGTGACTTATCTTCTCTCAATCTTAGTTTTCTCCTCTGTAAAAGAGATAAGATACTTTGCCCAGTAGTACACATTAAATGCTATATATATATATATATTAGTTATTCTTTATTAAGTACTCCCTTTATATGTGCTAAGCACTTTTTACATATGAAACTCCAATTAATCCTCAGTAACAGCTCTAAGAGGTAGGTACTATTATCCCCGTTACATAGATGGGAAGCAATTTGGCAGGAACATGGAGCTGGTGAGTAATAGAATCAAACCCTAACCCTTGTCTGCCTGACTCCTAGGGTATAATTTCTCAACCACTATGGTGCACTGCACCTACTCATTCCAAGGCTTAGAAGGGAGAGGAGTGAAGGCCTAACAGGCACATTGTGACCGATGAGGAGGGCCTGGTGTGTGAGGGGTGTGCCGGGATTCCTAGGTCCCTTATGTAATTCAAACCCTGAGGTGTAAAGGAGGGAGAAAGTTTTGGATTTTAGGCTGAGTTGGGTGAACACCACTCCATCTGGGCTGCTTTAAGAGCAGAGGACAGGGCCAGGCACACTGGCTCAAGCCTGTAATCCCAACACTTTGGGAGGCTGAGGGGGAAGGATTGCTTGAACCCTGGAGTTAAGAGGCAAACCTGGGAGACATAGCTGGACCCCTCTCTACAAAAATTTCTTTTTTGACATGGAGTCTCGCTCTGTCACCCAGGCTGGAGTGCAGTGGCTTGATCTCGGCTCACTGCAGCCTCTGCCTCCTGGGTTCAAGTGATTCTCCTTCCTCAGCCTCCTGGGCAGCTGGGACCACAAGTGCATGCCACCATACCTGGCTAATTTTTGTATTTTTAGTAGAGATGGGGTTTCACCATGTTGCCCGGGCTGGTCTCGAACTCTTGACCTCAAGTGATCCACCCACCTCAGCCTCCCAAAGTGCTGGGATTACAGGCGTGAGCCACCACGCCCAGCCTCTACAAAACTTAAAAAAAAAAAAAAAAAAAAAAAAAAAAAAAAAGGCCGGGTGCGGTGGCTCACGCCTATAATCCCAGCACTTTTGGAGGCCGAGGCGGGCGGATCACGAGGTCAGGAGATGAGACCATCCTGGCGAACACGGTGAAACCCCGTCTCTACTAAAAAAATACAAAAAAATTAGCCGGGCGTGGTGGCGGGTACCTGTAGTCCCAGCTTCTAGGGAGGCTGAGGCAGAAGAATGGCGTGAACCCGGGAGGCGGTGGAGCTTGCAGTGAGCGGAGATCGCGCCACTGCACTCCAGCCTGGGCGACAGAGCGAGACTCTGTCTCAAAAAATGGCCCGTCGCAGTGGCTCACGCCTGTAATCCCAGCACTTTGGGAGGCCAAAGCAGGAGGATCGCTTGAACCCAGGAGATGGAAACCAGGCATGGCAACATGAGGAAACCTTGTCTCTACAAAAAAATTAAAAACAAATCAGCCGAGTGTGGTGGTCTGTGCCTGTGGTCCCAGCTACTAGGTATAAGCCATCAAGCCTGACTGATTTTTTTTTTTTTTTTTTTTTTGAGACGGAGTCTCGCTCTGTCGCCCAGGCTGGAGTGCAGTGGCGCGATCTCGGCTCACTGCAAGCTCCGCCCCCCGGGTTCGCGCCATTCTCCTGCCTCAGCCTCCCGAGTAGCTGGGACTACAGGCGCCCGCCACCTCGCCCGGCTAGTTTTCTTGTATTTTTTAGTAGAGACGGGGTTTCACCGTGTTAGCCAGGATGGTCTCGATCTCCTGACCTCGTGATCCGCCCGTCTCGGCCTCCCAAAGTGCTGGGATTACAGGCTTGAGCCACCGCGCCCGGCCAAGCCTGACTGATTTTTAAAAATTTAGCTGGGAGGCTGAGGTGGCAGGATCTCTTGAGCCCAGGAGGTCGAGGCTGCAGTAAGCCGTGATGGCACCACTGCAGTCCAGAACGATAGAGCGAGATTTGCCTCAAAAACAAACCAACAAAACGCCAGCAGAGGACAACTGAGGGAGGAAAAGGAAAAGGACACCGAAGTTGTTTTTATGTTACCGCAACAGTGACACCCGCCGCCAGCTTGTCTAACATCTGAGATCCCGAACGCACTGCAATTTACAGCGCCAGGGGGCGTTCCTAGAACCCTGTCAGGTTACCCGAGGGGCGGGGAGGGCGGGAGGGCGGGGAGGGCGGGCCCCGGGGCGGGTTCGGCGTCCTCCTGTGCCAATGGGAGCACCCAAGCCCCTGCGCGGGAAGATGCCGATTGGTCAGTGCCGCCAGACGCCGCGAGGAGCTCGCGCGCGCGGCACTTCTGGGGCGGAGCCTGCCACCGGCCGCCAGGGGGCGCGCCGAGGCGACGCTTTCATGGAGGGGGTGAAGGCGGAAGCGCGGGAGGGGGCCGCGGTGGCCCAGGACCTACTGGCTCTGGGGTAAAAGGGTGTGTGGTGAGGCTGGTGGGTGCAGGAAGGCCAGGTCTGCCCCCTGGACGCGGAAGGAAAGGGATTCTCAGTGACCTCCCCGCCCCCTTCCGCTGCCTCGGTCCCCACAGGTATGGGGGTGTCCCGGGGACGGCGTCGCGGGGCGCCTCATGTCCAGACTTCAGGGCGCTGTGCGTGCGGCTGGCGGCGGAGCTGGCGACGCTGGGCGCCCTCGAGCAGCAGCGAGAGGCGGGCGCCGAGGTGCTGAGCGCCGGCGACGGTAAGCACGGAGCGGGAGGGTGGCAGGGGGGCCGCCACGGGACCACCGAGCCCTGACACCCCTGTCCCCGCAGGCCCCTACGCGGAGGAGGACTTTCTGCGGCAGCTTGGCCGCCTGCTGCGGGAGCTGCACTGCCCGGATCGCGCGCTCTGCGGCGGGGATGGCGCGGCTGCGCTTCGGGAACCGGGTGCCGGACTGCGCCTGCTGCGTGAGTCCCGGGATGCGGAAGTGGCAAGGCCATGGCCTCGGGAGCGGCGGGCTCCGACTTTTTAGGGGAAATCGAGGTTCCCAAGGGGGTGTAGTCAGAACTTTGGGGGCGGCCCAGAGGGTACGAGGTGGGTGGGGTGAGCATGTTGGGGCGAGAGCGCTCTGAGATGGGCGGGGGTAGAATCTTATTTTATTTTTTATTTATTTTTTTATTATTATTATTTTCGAGATGGAGTTTCACTCTTGTTGCCCAAGCCGAAGTGCAGTGGCTCGATCTCAGCTCACTGCAACCTTCACCTCCCGGGTTCAAGTGATTCTCTTGCCTCAGCCTCCCGAGTAGCTGGGATTACAGGCATGCACCACCACACCTGGCTAATTTTTTGTATTTTTAGTAGAAACGGGGTTTCACCATGTTAGCCAGGCTGGTCTCGAACTCCTGACCTCAAGTGATCTGCCTTCCTCGGCTTCCCAAAGTGTTGGGATTACGGGCGTGAGCCACCACACCTGGCCCGGGAGTAGAATTTTAATTGAAGGGCCTGGGAGCTTAAGTAGGTTGGATTAAGAGGAAGGCTCGAGGTTTCCAAGTGGGTGGGAGTCGAATTCATAGGAGGACACCGGGTCTCAAGGAGGGGCATACTCTGGAGGCCAAGGCTTTAGGTGGGTGGGACTAGAAGGTGGAAGATTTTTTTTTGTTTTTAAGTGGAGATGGGGTCTCCCTATGTTGCCCTGTCTGGTCCTCAACTCCTGGCTTCAAGTGATCCTCCCACCTCAGCCTCCCAACGTGTTGGGATTACAGGCATGAGCCACTGTGCCTGGGCGAAGGTGGAGGTTTTAAAGCCAGTGGAGCCAATTTTTTTTTTTTTTTTTTTGAAACAGTCTCGCCCTGTTGCCAGGCTGGAGTACAGTGGCGCCATCTCGGCTCACTGCAACCTCCAACTCCCTGGTTCAAGCGATTCTCCTGCTTCGGCCTCCTGAGTAGCTGGGATTACAGGCATTCACCACCATGTCCAGCTAATTTTTGTATATTTAGTAGAGACAGGGTTTCACCATGTTGACCAGGCTGGTCTCCATCTCCTGACCTTGTGATCCGCCCGCCTCCGCCTCCCCAAGTGCTGGGATTACAGGAGTGAGCCACTGCGCCCGGACATTGGTGGAGCTTTTTGACCAAGATGGATGAATGGGGTAGCAGCCTCCCTGAGTGCACAGCACCCATTTATTACTTTCAGGTTTTCTCTGCTCAGAGCTCCAAGCCACCCGCCTCCTGCGCCTGCGCTCTCTGCTGGATCCCAGTCCTAGGCCACCCCTTGGTGAAGGGGTGGTGGAGGGAGCTGGCATGGTCCAAGAACTGGGCCTTACCCTCCAAGCCCTGGGACTGCCCAGACCTGCACCAGGGACCCCCGCCAGCCAGCTGCTGCAAGAGTTGCATGCTAAGGTAGAGAGTCAGAGTCGCCTCCCGACCTGGGCTACCCTGCTTTCCTTGTGGGGGTGGCGGTCCTCTTTCTAAAACACCTCTGGAAGGAGTATTCCAACCTCTAGCCTGGTTTTTCTGGAGCTGTGACTGCCATTCTCACGTCTGTGGCCTAGGTCCTCAGGGTTTTGGGGAGCTGGGTTTACAGAGGGGCCCATCCTCTCTGCCCCAATTGGCCTCTGACTTCTTCTCCCATCAGATCTCAGAGCTGCAGCCTTTTCTGCCCCCAGGGTCCCTGCAGCCCCTCCTCAGCTACTCGCTAGATGCACCCAGATGGGTAAGACTGTGTGTGACTGACTGAATGTGAACTGTGTCCTTATCAGAAGTGGCTGTGAGAGGGACCCCTAGCCTGACCTTGAGACCTTTTCTGCCAGGAAGCATTGGAGTCTCTGTCCCAAAGCCTCAGAGATCAGTACCGCTGCCGCCGCTACCTCCTCCTCAAGCGCCTTGACCTCACTACATCTGCTTTCCACTGGAGTGACCGGGCAGAGGTGTGAGCAGGGAACCGTGCAGAATTGGAGAGGCCCAGTTGTGGGGGCTGCAGTTGCAGGGAGGAGGGATGAGGGCCAGGAGTATCACCCTCTGGCAGGTTCTCAGGCTGTGGACTTTTAGAAGTTTTTGATGTTTGGGGCTCCTAGAATCTCAGGGCCGCAGGGTATTGTTGAATTCCCAGCTTTGAGCTGGGAGTATATTCAGAGGCATACCCCATCTTTTTTTTAAAATGAATTAATTAATTAATTTATTTATTTTGAGACAGGGTCTCGCTCTGTTGCCAGGCTGGAGTGCAGTGGTGTGATCTCAGCTCACTGCAACCTCTGACTCCCGGGTTCAAGCGATTCTCCTGCCTCAGCCTCCCGAGTAGCTGGGATTACAGGCAAGCGTCACCACGCCAGGCTAATTTTGTATTTTTTACAGGGTTTCTCCATATTAGTTAGGCTGGTCTAGAACTCCCAACCTCAGGTGATCTGCCTGCCTTGGCCTCCCAAAGTGCTGGGATTGTAGGCATGAGCCACCACACCTGGCCAAGTATACCCCATCTTTAAGAGATATGAGCAGAGCCAGGCACAGTGGCTCATGCCTGTTATCCCAGCACTTTTGGAGGCCAAGGCAGGAGGATCACTTGAGCTCAGAAGTTTGAGACCAGATTGGGCAACATAGCAAAACCCTCATCTCTACTAAAAATTAAAAAAAAAAAAAATTAGCTGGGCATGGTGGCACATGCTTGTCATCTGAGTTACTTAGGAGGCTGAGGTAGGAGGATCACTTAAGCCCAGGAGATTGAGGCAGCAGTGAGCCACCATCATGCCACTGCACTCCAGGCTGGGAGACAGCGAGACCCTGTCTCAAACAATAAATATTTATTTAGAGCTGTGGGCAGTGAGGTCTTGAATGGTAAAGCGATGCTTCCAAGACGACAGGTCCCACTTGGGGAGGGCTCCAGGGTAACTTCTGTTACCTCCTTCCCACTCCAGGCCCAAGGAGAAGCCATGAGGGCAGTGCTGATCCCAATTCGAGAGGTTCTAACCCCGGAATCGGACATCTCCATCGCACACGTCCTGGCTGCCCGAGCCGACCTGTCTCGTCTCATCCCAGCCACCAGCATGGCTGTCCGCAGAGGGACCTGCTGTGCCATCAACAAGGTGGGTATCTGGGGTAGGGAAGGGCCCTGACATCCTTGGCCTTCAGATTGGCCTTTCAGCCTCTGTTCCGGTCCAAGCTTCAGACTCACCACCTCTATTCCACCCCCTAGACACGGGAGCTAGGACCTCGCTCACACAAAAAGTGACCGTGGACTCCTCAGCTCAGAATGCTTCCGTGGCTCCCTAATGATCTGAAAACAAAGTCCAGCTATTTACTGAATCCCTGGCTACCTCTCCATCTTGGGCTCAAAATCCTTCCCCATCACCAAACACTATCTATTGTGTTGTTTTTTAACCTCTTTCTTTTTTTCCAAGACAGAGTCTTGCTCTGTCACCCAGGCTGGAATGCAGTGGCTTGATCTCGGCTCACTGCAACCTCCACCTCCCGGGTTCAAGCGATTCTCCTGCCTCAGCCTACTGAGTAGTTGGGATTACAGTCACTCACTACCATGCCCGGGTAATTTTTTTTTTTTTTTTTTTTTTTTTTTTGAGACAGTCTCGCTCTGTCGCCCAGGCTGGAGTGCAGTGGCACGATCTCGGCTCACTGCAAGCTCTGCCTCCTGGGTTCACGCCATTCTCCTGCCTCAGCCTCCCGAGTAGCTGGGACTATAGGTGCCCATCACCATGCCCAGCTAATTTTTTGTACTTTTAGTAGAGACGGGGTTTCACCGTGTTAGCCAGGATGGTCTCGATCTCCTGACCTCGTGATCCGCCCGTCTCAGCCTCCCAAAGTGCTGGGATTACAGGCGTGAGCCACTGTGCCCAGCCAATATTTGTATTTTTAGTAGTGATGGGGTTTCACTGTATTGGTCAGGCTGGTCTTGAACTCCTGACCTTGTGATCTACCTGCCTCAGCCTCCCAAAGTGCTGGGGTTACAGGCGTGAGCCACCGCACCCTTTTAACCTTTTTTTTTTTTTTTTTTTTTTTTTTTTGAGACGGAGTCTCGCTCTGTCGCCCAGGCTGGAGTGCAGTGGCGCGATCTCGGCTCACTGCAAGCTCCGCCTCCCGGGTTCACGCCATTCTCCTGCCTCAGCCTCCCGAGTAGCTGGGACTACAGGCGCCCACAACCGCGCCCGGCTAATTTTTTGTATTTTTAGTAGAGACGGGGTTTCACCGTGGTCTCGATCTCC